TTGACTATAGTATAATATAATATAGTATTTACATTATTGAATTGATTATGATTATCATTATTAGTAGAAGTAGTTTATTTGCATTAATTATATTGTAATCTTTTTGAGGCTAGTAATGTTGCTTGGGGCCCCAAGTTGGCCAGGGGCGGCCCTGCACACATTCATGTATAAAAGACGTACAAGAGTGCATTTTGCATGATAGGTCCCCTTTAAGTCATGATGTGAAACGGTTTACAAAGAAAAAGGGAAACTCAAGCTGCTGCTACAATTTATTTTATTTATCTAAATTAAGCACTTTTAAGATGCACATATTTTCAAAAGCTATTTTATTTATTTTCTCTATTTTATTTTTAAATGCAGCCCGAGAGGAACATTACACATATCCACAGTATTTGACTGTATATGTATAGTTCAATGTTAATAGACAATAAATATTGTTGTTTTTTTAATTGTACTTTCTTTATTTGATTGGCAGTCAGTTGTTGACTACTTCAATATATATCACACTAATTCATAAAGCAACTTAGACATTTTGATGTTCCGGACCTTTGCATCGGGAGATTTTCTCTAACTGGACCTCGTTGAATTTTAGTTGAATACCCCTGCTATAAAGGAACTAAATCACGGTCATGACATTACTTCATGTCACTACCTTAGTTTGTGTAGCTAAGCTAAAGGTGGCTAATGTTTGGCATGATGATGTAAACACTTGCTAGCAACCACTATTTTCAGTGAAATATAGAAGCTTCATAAATGAACAAGTGGGTTATTTACTGATGTATTCTATGTCCTACATTAATCTCTTAACTTCAGCCTTATTTTAGGCATCCAACCAAAAACCCATTAAAAAAAAAAACATTGAATTCCAGACGAGATAACCAGAGGTGATGAAATGCTGACTCTGCAGAGAACTAGCACATTGTTGCTTTGAGTTGAAATAAAGAATAATACAGAAGAACATCAGCATTATACGTTAAAGACATTGTAGATTTCAGCTAGGCAAAATAATGCCTTTCATGTTATGTCATGTCTTTTTCTTTTTTCTGGTTGTAGATCCAAGCTGCAGCTGCTGGAGTGGGTGAGCTGCGAGGCCGTCACCTCCATCCTCCACAAGCTCATCGAGCAGCGCATGGAGCAGCACTGCAGGGGCGAGTACGAACGCTCTTTCCTGCTCGAGTTCCAGACGGTAAAACATCCATCAATGTTTATTAAACGCACGATATTTAATGTTCTAAATATGGTCGTATCATGAAGTAGTGTGGCATCATTGGTTGTTCTATACTTTGCTGACACCTTTACAAGAAACCATATGAAACTACAACATCATTTTAGGGACAGTGTTTTTTTATAATCAGGGTAAATAGATTTATGAGAATGAAAAACTCTGAGACTTGTGATAAATATACAATAAAGCGTTATGTTGACTTGAAAATATACTGCTTTTTTTCTGTCATTGTAAATATTTAGATTATCACCCCTCTCCAAGATTTGTAATAGTTTGACCCTATACACTGTTGTATGAAAACCCAACGTTAAATTGATAAAAATCTACACATTTTTGAGAAATATTTGGGATAATGTCAGTACTAAACTCACAAAAGTTAAACCTATTTTACAAATAATCTTAAGAAATCCTGTCTTGATAAACCTTACATCGGTGATTGTTGTTTTGTGTGAGCAGTGGCTGGAGCTGGTTCTGGGCTGGCTGAGCAAAGTGTTTGCAAGCGAGGCAGAAAAGGACGGTCTGGTACCTGCTCCTGGTGCTCCCAGTACTCCTAGCGTTCCCAGTACTCACAGTCTCCAGGCGGGCCAGCCGGGCAGTTCCGTCCTGAAGCAGTGGAGATGCCACATGCACCAGTTCTTCTGCCGGATCTACGTCAACATGAGGATCGAGGAGCTCTTCAGTATAATCAGAGGTGAGACAGAAAACAGTTATATTGGGGTTATATGAACGTTTCCTAGACTGCCTAAGGTTATTTTATTTTTTAAGGTGTTTGGCATTTTGACAATGCTAGGCTAAATGTGTTAACTCACAGTGTAAGCTAAATGCATCATGGACTTATCTGAAATGAACCTGCTTGTCGTCTCAAAATAAGGGAAATAGAGAACCGCAGTGATGCGTCCTAAAACCCGGAAGTAAACTCCTTCTGGTTCCTTCGTCAAAAACCAATGCAATTTCTCTATAGGATTTTGGAAAATAGCTCAAAATAAGGTCTGTGGTTGACACACATTTAAGAGACAGATCACGTTTTGTTCAGCCGGATAATATTCACATGTCTACCCTACTTTTATAATTTTCGAATCATAAATCTAGTCCCCAGAAGCAAAATGCTCTAATGTTATGCTATAAACGAACTACAGCAGGGTCGCTGCTTCAACGTCACGCCAACTTAAGATCCATATTCAAAAATACAAATTTTTAATCAGATTAATCACAGCTTAAAAATTAATTAATCATGATTGATCACCATTCGAACTATGTCCAAAATATGCCATTTCTTTATGTATATTGTTGTGGGAATGGAAAGATAAATGAAAGAAGGCGGATATATCCATTTAACATACAGTAGGCTATGTATGTATGTTTATTATAACATTGTTCTGTGTGTCAAAATGAAAGACAGCCCACACACCTATCAATCATCAAACCGTGGGGCCTTATTTCATTACGTGTTGATTTCTATCAACACGTAATGTTGTATCGATGTATATAGAGATGTACTACAGCAAAATTATTCTCCGTCAGGACTTCCTGCAACAACATCACACCCTTATCTTGATTCTGATTGGCCAGAAGACATTATCAAAGATGTTCAATTGGGAAGACGATCACTACGTGACAAAAGTTTTCAAAACCGTTTCTAGTCTTCGGTATTTCCAGACAAGTGGCTACTGAAATCAATCTTACTAGCTGCTGTCTGTGCAATTTACTCGGCGCGAGTTGGCGGACTTTATTTTGCTTACTTTAACATCATTTTTCATGGTGGGGCTAAGCCATATCTTGGTATGGCTGTAGCCTACCCCAGCGCTGCCACTGGTGGGATGTATGGGGCGGGCCATTCTGCACATGAGTTAAATTTTTTAATGACGGCATTAAAAAATACAGATTAAAAATTGTAATCTGTATTTTTTAATGCCGTCATTAAAAAATTTAACTCATGTGCAGAATGGCCCGCCCCATACATCCCACCAGTGGCAGCGCTGGGGTNTGAACTGCTCCCACTTAGTGAAGGGAACAAAGGTGGCCACCGGAGCCCTCAGGGTCCTCGGGTTCGCCGCAGCCCCCTCCTGGTACCTCCTAATGGCTGGGAAGCGCGGCCAGATCGGGTCACTCCTGCCCGTCTGAACGCGGGAAAAAACTCCGGCCATGTCATTCAGAGCTACCTTTTCCCGTCCTAGGGGAACGAGGAGACCCTTGCAGGCTGCCGCCTTGCCGATGATCTCCGGCAGCTCCAGCATGATGCCCCCCAACGCCGGCAGTGCCGTGGCAACGGAGAAGGGGACCGCGTGCTCGGCCGCCATACCCGTACCTCGCTCCGACCCCGTCTCCCCCGTCCGGGGGAGAGGGGGGAGGGGAGAGCCGCATGGCGAGCCATGGAGGGAAACGGGGTAGGAGTCGTCCGACTCCTGCCCACCACTCGGCTCCAGAAACAGGCTGTCGTCCCTGTGCTCCTGGACGGGCCAGTCGTCCTCCTCAGCCGCGGCAGCTAGAGCGTCCGCTCTTCGCTGCCTGTCGGCTGATGGGAGACGGGCACAATGCGAAGACGCGACCTGCTGGTTGAGAGCCGCGTACGCGTGCTCTGGCCCCAGACAGGATTCGCATATCGCGTGTAGATCATAGCTCATGATGTACCCCGTTTTACATGAGGGACAATCACGGACACAATTGTTGCTCATGACTCTAATTCCTTTCCTGTGCTTCAGTACTGCTGACGGTTGCTGAAGAAAAGAGGGAGCAGATTGCCGGGCCACCTTCCTATTTATACCGGAAGGAGGCCCGAGGGTGGGGCCCACCTTGCGGGTGCGCGTGGACTACAAGTGTTTCAGTGCTGCGCGGGGGCGCAGGGGGATTACCCAATAGCGATAGCCTTAGAGGGCGAAGCCATATACGAAATAGAACAGCAAAAACCCATTACCAGACACACCAAACTAAAACCGTGACATGACATAAGAATCGTGACAATCTGGACAAATTTAGCGTGAAGTAGATTTTTATACAGAACAAGGAACAATTTCCTTAAACCAGACAGAGATCCACCATTTCAGGTTGATATGGTTGTTTGGTTTTCCCAGGAATTTGATTGATAGTGTCGGCATCAATTAATTAAACCTTTACAATGGATTCTCCATGAGGCTTAATGTTTTTCTCTAAAACTACATGACACTGTGTTTTGACATCAACAGCTGATGTCATGAGTTTTATAGAATTTGTTGGTTGTTTGCTTTTCCTTCGAAATGTGCCTCCTGAGTCTTATCTCTTTTCTTGAGACTCTTGTGGTATAACCATGATGTTCCACTTTTGACTTGCTAACCAGCCTGACTGCAAACATGTTAACTTACAAGTGAAAACACTAGCCTCTTCGGCCAATAGATGCAAAGCTCCTATCTCCTGCAGTGACCACATGGTCTACGTGGTGGCCTTCAGAGAGGCCTGAAAATACACTTGTTCAAAACCCACAGCACATTTACTGTTTGGTGCAACTTAGAGGCACGTTAACTTCCTAACAGTCCTTTGACTTTGCTAATATAGTGTGTTTGTTCCTTTAATTTACTCATTCTGTGGATTCCAAAGAAGCTGCATAAAGATAATTTGAGCCAGGGTGTCTATTTACGTGGAAGGGGATGTTGCTGTTTCCCTTGTAGTGACAGTAAGAGCGTCCCACGTGTCACATCGCCGCTCCTCCTCCCACGCTTCTCGCAGAGAGGAACACACAAAGCTATTATTATCACTGACAGGAAACGCGCTGAACCACAGCAGATCTGAGCCGACTCTCACTCTGCGTCTTTGTCTCTTGGTCTCTCTGACTCATTTCTTCCTTTTCTGTTGTTTAGCTGATGCTCTTCTAGCTCTCTTGATCTCTCTGTCTTTCTGCCTCGGTTCACTTTCTGTTTTCTGAAAGTCCCTTTTTCTTTGTATCTCTCTAAATGCATTCTGTCCGCTGTTTTTTGTTTGTCTTGGAAATATTCACTGTAACATGAAACACCCCGTTTCTTACTTATTATGCAAAACTGTCATCATTTTTGTTAAACTCATCCTAGCTTGGTGCCCATGCTTTTGATCCCTTAATGCTGGGTAAACACAACACATTATTTTTGTACTGTTTCGAGGGTCACTGCAACGGATTTGTTGACTACAGTATGAAGTCATGACATTTTATCCTGACTTGAATGATCCTGCAGTCTGACCTGTTGGGTCAAAGCTTTTCGTCTTTTACAACATCGTCAATAGGAAGTGCAAGGAACTACGCTTGTTGACATTCAGAGATTATAAAGTTGGTCATTATAGCAATGGAATTGTTAAATGTCATTTGTTAAAAATGCACAACTACTGTAGTATTTGATTGCTTTTAGCCACTGTGCCATTGGTTCCAAAAAAGCAAGGGATCAGGTTCTGTAATCCATCCATTCATCCTTACTGTTAGGCCCATACATAGTTGCCGTGCTTTCTTTATGACTATGTGTTCTGTTCTCATCCACACGCTGTGTAACTGTGTATACCTTTGTGTTCATTTGTTAGTAAAGGCTGACTAAAGCCTCAGATGTTCAAAAGATGGATAACACACTCTGTTGTTTGTGTTCAAGACAGGCTGTGAGTTATGCCGCTTTAGATGCTGTCTGTGTGTTGCTGATAAGACGCTGGAGTGTGTGTGTGTGTGTGTGTGTGTGTGTGTGTGTGTGTGTGTGTGTGTGTGTGTGTGTGTGCAACAAAGATGCACTGGGACATTGCAGAGAAAACCTTAGTGAGAAAAACATTCCATAAGTAAAAAAACAATTCAGTTTATTAACTGTGTTTTGAGTTTGTTCACACTGGGATCATGTCAGTATCTCTTGTCTTTTAGATAGAAACAACAATGCTTTTTGAAACAATACATTCTGTATGCCAATATTCATTCAACTTGCATGATGTGTTTGAATGGGTTACTGAGGGCTATATGTGCTGTTCCTTGAGAGGAAGATGCTGCTCTCTGGAGGTAGGCTGAGTATAAGGCCAAAACAATGAGGATTTTCCAAAAAAGGGCAAAGAATAGAAAGCTCTAATCCAAACCTCAACAATAGCACCATCTAGTTGTCAATTACAGATAGTGCATACCAATCTGTAAATGCACAACATTTCACCAGCACTCATTCACACCAGACCACGAGTGAGGAATGACATTGAGCACGGTGTGATGAATGCACCATAAAGCATCACAAAGATATCGTACAAAGTGTTTCTATGCTAGGCTTCCTTTAGCATACTGTTTTCAAATGTTATCTTCAAAAATTGACTGGTCACTCTTTAAATTCCTGTCCCAGAAGTTTGCCTTTAAAGATTCACACAAAAGAAAAAATGCAAGCTTATTTATAATGCTGTCAAAATTATTGCATTAACGGCGGTAAATAATTTTTGGAATTAATTGCGTTAAAATATTTAACGCATTTAACGCATGCGCAGAATGGCCCGCCCCATACATCCCACCAGTGGCAGCGCCAGGGTATGGCTGGGG